AGGTGCTGACCTCCAACAAAAAGAAGAAGTAATTTTGTCGGAATACAAGAGTTATTTATTTTCGAAATCTGAATAGAAAGGCTACAGGTTGTATTTGAATACAACGTGTACGTTTTCTATTCGAGGAACTCTGCTATTCGAGAAAAGTGGACCCGCACGGTTTCAATTTCGAAAAAGGACTGTGACCTCCTCGGCCTCCTACGCGGTCCTGGACCAAAACCCGTGCGGTCCCACGGGCAGCTACCGGTCCTGCAGTTTCAAACAAGATGCCACCACCCCCTAAACTGCCATGCATTGCTTTTCCAGCCTTCCAACGACCGTATAACGAACGACGATGAAAAATGTTCTCAGGGGCATAAAACGCACCACTGACGGGCTGCGAACATATGACAGTCACCTTCGGCACTCGGCCATGTGGTAGAGGCCTCCTAATCCTATGGGACCTGGTCCCTAAACAACAACCGCACTTCCCCACGGGACTCGGAAGGCCTTCAAAGGGTACTACCGGTAGTGGAACTAGTGGACCTCTGGCCACTAGCTGCTACCTGGTAGGTGCAGACGCACATTCTGCTTTGGGGATGACTACTTGCCTCTACCTGCTACCTGGTAGGCGAAGATGCACATTCTGCTTTGGGAACGACTAAGGGCCTCGTTCTACACCACTTGAACTCCAGGCTTGAAGGAAAATTCTTCGTTCTAGCCCACCCTAACGTTGCCGCGGAGTTGTTTCTACTTTCCTGCTCTCAAGTGCCTGCCCTCGAAACTAAACTGTGGCCGGGGCAAAATCGCACTTGAACTCAAGGTACCTCTCTGGGGAGCCTTGAGTTAAACTGCCAGCGGATACCGCCAGCACTCCAGGTGGGGCTTTTTTTTTTCCCCCCTTTTTTTCCCTTTTTTTCCAGCAGGCTATCCTGGTCCAGGATTGGTCAAGCCGTGGAGTCTGGTTTCAAGTGCAGCCTGTTCAAGGGTTTCTTCAAGTGTAAATTAATCACAATTTCTCCTCTAGTGTGCACTAGAAACTCTAAGTGTATTTTCAAGTGGTGTTGAACGAGGCTCTAAGGGCCTCGCCGGACCACTCACCGAGTGCACATGATGAGAAGGAACTCGGCCGGAACATGGAAAGATCTCCATTTTGTTTGTTTTTATTTTTTTGTGCCGCCAGTGAGGATCGAACTCACGATGCGCTGTGTTCGTTGAGCCCAGAGAAAGTTAGTAAAAAAAAAAAAATCATCTCCCTCGACAAGGACGGGAATAGCTTACGGACTATATGAACTCACTCACGATGCGGCGAGGCCCCATACGGGTACTCCCACGAGCACTTCACTGACGGCAATTACGGCCCGACCTGGATGGATGGATCTGGCCTCAATCACTTCCAGAGCTGAGTCGAAATAGAGAAATAAAAAAAGAAAAAGGAAAGAAGTCCAGGTATGAGTATGCCCTAATAGGTGTTGTGCTTTGGGAAGCGCTAACAGGCCTGCGCCAAACTGGGACACACATCCACTGTGCTGCTTCCTTCCTCAGGGGATCGGTGTTGTAGCGGGGCTGGTGATAGAGCAGTCTTTCGGGGGGTTATATGAGAGCTATCTGCCGGGGTGAGCTGACTGGGCATTACATTACCAGGGGCGATCACAGCGATCCCGAGGTTTGCTGCCGATGCATCGAGTCAAGTTCTCGGTTTGTCTCCTACCATAGGCCACCTCTCATCACATGGACGGGTTCGACTGATCCGTCTTTCCCATCAAATCTCCACCTGTCCGTCTCTGATTGCCCCGGTTATTCCTGCGGTCGCTGCCTCACTCCGTGCTCGGCCTCACAGCTACCGGTAGGATGAGCGCGTAGGGGGTAACCTTCTCCTGCGGTCGTTGGCCTTACTCCGTCCTCGACGTGACAGCTACCGGTACGATGAGGGCGTAGGGGGTAACCTGCTCCTGCGGTCGTTGGCCTCACTCCGTGCTCGACTTCACAGCTACCGGTAGGATGAGCGCGTAGGGGGTAACCTGCTCCTGCGGTCGTTGACCTCACTCCGTGATCGACTTCACAGTTACCGGTACGATGAGCGCGTAGGGGGTAACCTGATCACAAGCGTGGCTGATGGTAGGTTACGTCTTGAGCGGTCGGGCGACCGGTTTCGCGGGCTGCATACAGGCCACCCGCGGCGAAGGACACGGACAGATTTGGTGCCGAAGGTGACCGACGACAAGTGCGCGCGCGCGCGATCGATCGATCAATCGATCGATCGAGCGAGCGAGCGAGAACGGGGGGGGGGCAGAAGACGGAAAGACGGAAATGCGCGACCTCCAACCAAGGGCAACAAACAAACCGCCGCTATATTCAGTCAGGGTGTCGCCGCTTGCCGTTATATGCTTTTTTTCTGTTTTTCTGTTTCAATGATTTTATGAATTTGTAAATTGTTGTTGTTCTATTGTCTGAATTGATCGACTGCCAATCAGAAAGTGAAAGAAAGAAAAAAGAGAATTGAGCGATTGGCGGGAAAAAAGAGAATTCATTACCCTTCTCGGCGGCGGGACGCGTGTTGCAGTGCAGACTTCCCCGCCGAGGGAGTGGCAGAGGCTGTCGCGCCACCGGCAGGACCACGGCCATCGGCGGCCCGCGCCGTACGGCGGGGAAGGTGAGCGAATGGTTCTTTTGGTCCGACGCTGAGGCGGGAGGCGGGCGGGAGGCGGGGGGAAGGCGGGAGGGCGGGGGCGGGGTAAAAGTAGTAGGAGGCGAGTGGGGTGTTATTCGACGAAATCGAGAGTACGGCGAGGTAGACAGCGGCGGGGATCTGGAATTCCAGCGGCGGGAAAACGACATAAAAGACAGAAACGTGTCAGGGAACGACTGAACGGGCTTCAAAGGAGATGCAGTCGATGATTATAATGATTTGATTCGCTAGCTAACAGAATCCGAATCCGGATCCGCAGACAGAAAAGAGGTAATAAATAGTTGCGTCGTCGAGTGCGAGCGTGGTGCGGCTACGTAGCGGGGGGGAGGTGAGGAATTGGGCGCCCGTGCAAAACGTGAATCGAGTACTTGATATCTCGTGCGTGCGCGCCTTGGTCTCTCCGTGCGTTTGTGTGTGATTGGCTGTGTGCGTGGGTCACACAGAGAGAGAGAGAGAGAGAGAGAGAGAGAGAGAGAGAGAGAGAGAGAGAGAGAGAGAGAGAGAGAGAGAGAGAG